GCTGGGAGCTCTGTGCTCGCTCTCACCCCTCCTTTCCTGGGGTTCTGGGGGTGCTCTGAAGAGCAGGCCTCCACTGGGTATTGTAATTTCTGTCTGATTGTGAGAGCTTTAAACAGCCCTATGACTTCATAGTGACATTTATGGTTCCAACTGTGATGCCAACGGCTTTCTGGCAGCGTTCTTACTTGTGAAACTAACTCAGCCTGGAGGTCCCATACCTCTTAGATAATGTAATGTAAGGACTCTAATCTCAGAACTGTTCATCTGCAACCATAGCAAATATCAAACTGTTTTGTTTTAGGGTTTACAGCAACAAAGATTCTTGTGACATTGTTAATATCCCTTGAGTTATAAATTCAGAGAATTTGTTTTTTGATGCCACATTTTCCTCAGGATCATTGATTTACACTCAGAGAAAATAATTCTTGTTTTTTATTATGTAACTCTTTGGAAATCTTCAACATTAAATAACTAAATCACATTAGGATCTGTATCAGGGCCTAGATTTTGCATTTTCCCCCATTCATTCATTGAGAAAGTGTGAGAGTTCCTACTAAGTGGAAATTAGTTAAGCACCTAGAAACAACAACGTTAAAGAACTGGAGTGTTAGGGCTGGCCAAATAGCTCAGCGGATTAAAGCACCTGCAAGCAGGTGCAGGGGCTGGGGGTTCAATCCCCGGCCTGCCATGCCAGCCCCGCCCCCAGGGCACACAGAGATGGTGATTGAGACTGGGCATGGTGGCGCAGGCCTGTAATCCCAGCAGGCCTGTAATCCCAGCACTTGGGAGGCTGTAAACAGGTGAATCACTCCGAGTCTGATCTAGTAGTGAGACCCTGAACACCCTGTAGACCTTCTGACCCTCCCCTAAAGCAAAAAAACAACTGGAGTGTTGTAAATTGAAAGAGCTTAGAAGAAAGAGCGAGTGAAATAGCTCAGCAGACTAAGTGCCTGCTTAGGCAAGCGCAGGGACCAGGGTTTGATTCCCCAGCACCACATGCCATGCTGGCCCTGCCCCCAGGAGAATGCTGAGCCAGCAATGGAGTACGGGCGTGGTGGCACACACCTGTAATCCCAACCCTGGGGAGGCTGAAAACGGGGATCACTAGTCCAAGATAAAGAGTTTAGGACTAGTGGCGGAAGTAGGAGGCCTATGGAATGGAATGACTGCTATTGAAACAGAGTAAGGGCTGGTGAGATGGCTCAGTGGTCTAAAGCACCTACTTAGAACAAGCTTAGCAAAGCACAGGGACTGCGGTTCAATCCCCCAGCACCACATGCCAGCCAGCCCCGCCCCCTGGTGGGCTGAGCAGGCCACACACACACACACACACACACACACAAATTAAAAAAAAAAAAAAAGAAACAGAATAAGAAAGCTATCAGAATTCTCTAAATCCTGCCCAGCTCAGAAGGTCAGAGGGAGTTTATAAACAAGAAAGTATTGAGTTCAGCTCTTTAAGAGAATCTGGGAAGTATTCAACGCAAGCTGCCACTGGGAGAGTAAGAACCACCCTGATGCAGTGTGACATTTTTAAATATACATTTAAGGCAATCACGGTGGAGCGAGAGGCAGAGAGACTGCTGCTTACTGAGTAGACTTCTGACGTCTATTTTCTGAAACAGCTTATTGTCCAGCAAATTACACTTTTTTTTTTAAAGTGTGGCAAGGCTTGCATTTCCCAGTCAAGCGCGGGCACGGGGTGAGAGGGGCGGAGCTGACCACAAGAGCTTCCAGCTTGCTAGAAATTCAGTTGGGAGAACTGCTTCGGCTGGGTAGCACTGTCAGAAGGGGCAGCCCACAAGCCCTGGGGGAGGCCCTGGGAGAGCGCCCCAAGGCTCCACTCACCGGTGACGAAGAAGGCCTTGTACTGCTCCAGGCGGAGGGCCTGCAGGGCTCCCATCTCCCCAGCCGCCCCGCTGTTGGGGTGGAACAGCACCTGGGAAGGCAGGGCCTGGCATCAGACACCTCGCTAAACATCCCCCGAAAGCACCCGTGCTGGCCACACCCCTCAGTTCTTCCTGTACCCATCCCACCTGAAGTTCACCCTGGCCAACCCTGGGAAACCTCGGGAATTGTCACTGCCCGAGCCGCTCAGGAGGAGCCCTGACAGCTCTCGATCAGGGCATGGAACAGCGGCTGAGCTGGTCAGCTAGCTATCACAAGACCTGCCCTGGGGCTGGCAGGGTCCAGTGCAAACTGAAAGTCAGGAGCAGGGCCTGGCGGTGCATACCTGTGATCCCCAGCATTTGGGAGGCTGAGGCAGGAGCACTGTCCTGAGTTCGAGGCTACACAGTGAGTTCAAGGCCAGCCTGAACTCTATAGTGAAGTCTTGTCTCAGAAAACATCCGGGATACCTTGTTCACAAATTCTAAATTTCAAAACAGACAGAGCTTTACAAAGCAAGCTCAGGGTCTTTTAAGGGTCAGGCCATGTGGCTGCTTAATTCTCACATTCAGGATGTGTCTCTGAGTCCCGTGCCTGAGGTGGAAGGGGCTTAACAAAAGCATCCTCAGGGATTCTGATGCAGCCTGTCCTCAGATCTCTTTGGAAAATGGCTCCTTTAGGAGGCTGAGGCAGGACTGTATGCTAACAGTGACCTGTGAAGGTCCTGCCTCAAAATAAGAAAATCTTAAAAAGGGTTCACAGGTTAGCTCAGTGCAAAGACCCTGGGTTCAATCTGCTGTACCTCAAAGAAAAGAGGCAGTGGGTGGAAGAAAAGAAGGGAGGGAGGCAGTAGAAAAGAAAGAAAGAAAGAAAGAAAGAAAGAAAGAAAGAAAGAAAGAAAGAAAGGCAGCCCAGCCTCTTTCAGCCTCTAGTCAGCTTTCCTAATCTCCCTTGAGCAAATATCATATGAGAAAATCTTCTCGTTTCTGCTGCCCTGAGCACACCTGGCCTCTAGACGTGTCGTTTTTCATCTTCAATGCTGGGGACTGAACTGAGGGTCTCACACATTCTCAGCAAGTGTCCAGCCGCTAGGCTGCCCGCCCACCCACAACCTAACTTCTCAACCAGCTCCTCCCACTCAGCGCTACTGTGCTTGAACTGAAGCACGCTTTCCTCGCCCAGGCACAGGTGAAGGAATGTCCCTAAAGCACGGGAACTTCTAATTCAGGGTTCCTGGGAAAACAGTCTGGTACGAAATAACAGGTCAGCGTCTCCAGGACGCTGGCAGGGCTGGGCCGGACCCGTGAGACTGCCCTGGGATGAATCATGACCGTATATATCGCTCGGAAGACACTGTGTGATTCAGAGTTTCCATAAGGCTTGAAAAAAAAAAAATGAGAAACATCTGTTGGAGCAGAAAACAGCTGCCCCCAAGTTGCACAGCCCCGAGAGGGTGATGCCCCGGGCAGGGCTCCCCCGCACCTGCTATTCTGGGGCTCTGTGGTGTCAAGCCTTGCATGACGACAGCAGGCTTCTTCAAACAGGAAGGGAAGCTCTCACTGAAACCTCCCTTCTTCCACCCATGCAAAGCCAAGCCTCTCTCACCGCAGGAAACCACTCTGAGTCTTTGTAGTGCACCAAGGCGGCCGCTGGGGCTACCTAGTGTCCTTGGACCTAGCGTGCACCCAGACCTCCAGAAGGTGGGAGTCCAGGCTGGCCTTTCAAACTGAGGGCAACAGCTGCGACCCAGTGACAGCAGCTCCGTGAGACCAGGCTGCATAGCCCACCCGATGCAATTTCCAAAACCCGACAGGAAGCACAACTGCGCAGGCTCGCTCTCACGCATGGCCGTGGAAACACGTATAAGCATACTTCTCCTTGAGCAGCCTGGCTGCGGCTCTCTTGTTTACAAGAACGTAGGAAGAAAGCTGGCACGTTCACCATGAATCTCAGCCGGAGCCTCTTCCTCTCCAGATGCTTCGTCTGAATCTCTAAGAGGACTCTCTCTCCTGCATGCGGGTGCCCCCTCGCTTGCCTTCTTGACCAGTTGGTTTGTTTTGCATATGTTTGTTTGTTTGTTTGTTTCGTGGTGCCGGGATGGAACCCAGGACCTGTGTGCTGAGCTGTATCCCCAGTCCTATGTTTACTTCCTATTTTGAGACAAGGTCTAACTAAGGTGCTAAATTGCCTCGGCTGGGCTTGAATTTGGGATCTGATTGTCTCAGCTTTGCAGAATTCTGGAAATACAGGCATGGGCCACACCTCAAGCAATCCTCCTCAAGCCTGGGACTCAGCACACTCACTGCATGCCTTGGGCTTTGCTTTTTCCCCCCTAAGCATAAGCTTATCCCTAGATCTTGGAGGCCAAGCCCAGACAGCATCCCCACAAGTAGGCCTGTCCCCCCACCAGGCAGGTGCCCATAGCTCACAGCCTCCAAAAGGGACCAGGCTGCAGAGGCCACACCAGATGATGTCCCTCACCACTAGGGGCCTCCCTAAGAGAAGCAATGGGTGTCGCAGCCTAACCACAGCTGTCTCCTTAGTGTATGGTCTCCGGGGAGGTGACGCGCCTGCCTCTGATGCAGCCTCCCTGAGGGCTGGGCTGGCTAGGTTCAGCCACTGGGGAAAATTTCTCGTCATTGCTGATTTTCAAACCAGATCAAGATGGACAGAGCCTAATCACAGGTGACATTAGCAACTGTAATGTCCAACAGGGACTCAAAGAGCACCAAGGGGCACATTTGATTTTGGGCTGTACATCCCCACAAGCTCTGCGCGCTCTCTTTGTAGTGGCCCCACTGCCTAGACACAGGATTGGAGCGGGGCACCTATGTGCCTGTAAGCCAAGCACTCTGCGATGCTGGGGCAGGCGGTTTGGAAATTCAAGTCCAGCCTGGAAAACTTACCAAGATTGTCTCAAAAAAAAAAAACAAAAAAAAAAAAAACCTGGGGTTGTAGCGCAGTGTGAAAGCCCTGTGTATTGCCTGGCAGCCACATCGTCAAGTCAGGAGAAGCTGAATGGATAGAGTTCATCTCTGCTGCTGTCAGCAGGTGGCGGCTGCTGGGGTCCTGGGCATCACACACACGTGCCGTGGGGTCGTGGGTGTGAAAACTGGCAGCCACTGCCCACCTCACAGGGCCCAAGCAAGCAGCTGAGGCTGCTCATCTCTTCGATCCTCGGGTACTTGCTTTGTAATATGGAAAAGAAACTAAGCGCAGAGAAACAGCTGCGGGTGGAGTGTGTGCGGCTGATCAGCTAGGGGGTACTTTGAGCTTCTAGAAACTGGTGTATCACGGTGGATCAGCTGCATCAACTTGAGAAGTTAGAAGCTTAACTCTATCGGCCCAGCAACGCCATCCCAACGCCACACCCTGGGGTGTAGAGGAGCCGCCCTACAGTGGCTCATCAATTAGAGGATATAAAAAGGAAGTGAGGGATGTTGGAGCATTCCACTTCTTCAGAGGAGCTCCGGTCTTGGCCTTCAGCTTGGATGTCTTCTAGCGAGACTCTTTGGCTTCCTCCTCCGATCCTTCAGCCTTCCGGTATAGCCTCCTCAGCCTTCCATCGCAGACCTATCATCCTCCTGATACGGACTTGCACGGAACTCTGCGGAGAGCTGCAGACCTTGGACTGAATCCTTTAGTCTCCAGTGCGCAGACGCCCTCTGCGCGCTTCCTCATCTGACTCTGTGGCTGGCCATCGTAAGCCAGTCTTGTAATTTCTTGTACATTTGTACATCTTGGGTTATATCTGTTCTTCTAGTAAACCAGAATTGATACAGATTTGTTTTCTAAACCAACCCAATACTGGATAATGTATAAGCTCAGGACGTATCAGTAGGTGAATACAAAGTGTGTTTACTAGGAAATACATATATGTATTACATACATGCATGGTATGAGCACAAACATGGAGATATATATCTATTCTCATCTTACCTGCCACCTCCCCTCAAAGGCTATTCCAAGTGCAAGACAATTTAATCTCTTTAATCCTGTTAGTTCACTTCAGTAGACTGGCCCTCTTTGGCCAAATCCCAGGTCTGGACTAGCAGAACTGGACTAGCCCATGCTGGCCTCCAGCTCCAAAGTGTGTCATCTCAGGGCCTTCACCAACCCCAGCTGAATCTGGCACTCGGCGAGGCAGGCGTGGTGCACAGGTGCGGGCTGTGGGCCTTTAGCCTGGAAGATACCATCAGCAGCTTCCTGCAGGCGGCAAGCTGTTGATTTCTTTCTGGGCCATAGGGCGTGGCTGGGCAGCAAACTCAGTCCTCACGGCAGCTGTGCCTCCACACGTTGTCATCCCCAGGATCACACTTGCATCGACTGCTCCCGCCCAGTTCCTGGGCCGAGCTGCCTGGCAGGAGCCGGGATGCGATTGGAGGACGGGTGCCAGCGCCCCCCACCCCCACCCGGGAACGGAAACGAGCGCGGAGGAGCTGGCGTCCACAGGCCCATCGTCCCACGTCAAGGAGACCACAGTCCTTGAAGCACTTCCTGGCGACCCCGATTTTTCTATTAGCAGCCATGGCAATAAACACTCAAGAGCACCTTCCCACTGACGTCTTGGATAACCCCTCAGGGTCACGCACTGCAGACTTCCAGGCTGAAGGCGGAAACCATCTTCCTGCGCTGCTGGGTTCAGACGGGCCAGGATCCTGGAGGGGTCTGCGACTCTGCAAAGGCAGGTGCTCCGGGGAAGGGTGAGGCCCCTTCAGAAGGCCTTTGGGGGCCTACTCTGACAACCCCCAAGACCCTATTAACGGCCACAGATGCCGGAGGGCCCTGTATGCTGTTGGGGTGGGGGTGGGGCAATGTGAACAGTCACCAGCCCAGGTGAACTTGAGTCCCTCTGACTCACTTCCACCTGTGCCTCGAAGACAGAAATAGACCCTTTGAAACTGGGTCCCCAACTGGGAATCTTATGCAGGGGCTCCGGGCTCTTGGGCCCCCTTCTGTCCTCCCACTTCCTCTTCCTTTGGAAATGAGAGGGAAAGGCCAGTGGGACCAGCATTTCCTGGCCACTGTTGCTACAGAGCGCTTCCGAGCACACGGAAGAGGGGGACGCTCACGAGAGCTGACGCTGGGAAACAGAAGCCCAAGGCCATCGCCAAGGCCCTTGGTCAGGAACAGGCTGCAGAAGGGGTACAGGGCCCCTCCCAGGATCGTGGGAGCAAGAGAACCACGGGGCTCTGCCGTCCTGGAAGGCTTGCATGTGTCCGGCCGTCCATCTGTTCCTTCCTCTGTTCTTCCGTACTGCATGCACTGAATGTGTGCACTGACCAGGTGCTTGGGGGAACCCAAGGGCTGGCCCAGCCCTCTGGAAACTTGGGGGGCCTCATTGTAAACAAATCACAGACGCTGATCAGATATCACATCCACCAAAAGAATCGTGCTGTGCTGTGTCAGAAAAACTGAACACACGCCAGGAAAGAAGGTTGTGGATTACAGAACACAAGCAACCACATACACTTACCCTGGGCCAAATGATGGAGGGACAGAAAGCTGGACTAACTGGACTGATCAAGTGGCAGGGGCACGAGAGATTCACTGCAGAAATCCCCCCGGGGTTTCTCACATGGGGTTTGAAGCAGCACTCTGAGATAGGGCAGTGGTGGTTACATCTGCACAGAGGCAGCCAGGCGCTGGATGAGCTGTCCCTGTCCAGCCCTGGGCAGAGCCTGGATGCAGACACGGGCTGCCACCACTTACCCTGTGTCCCTTCTGCGACTTGCCCAAGAGCACGCTGGAGACGTCGAGCCCATCAAAGTGCCGAGCTTGGGGCAGGCTGGCTCCAGCCAAGGCCACGACGGTGGGGAAGACATCCAGCACACTGACAAAAGAACAGACACAGTTGGCCCCAGCTCTGCCACCCCCTCCCTGGCCCTGCGACAGTCAGAACCCATCCGCAGTAGCCCAAGGCAAATGTGGACAAGCACCTAAGGTGACACTCATTGTCCGCCTGGCTGTCCCTTGGGTCCCACCTCCATTCCTGCTGTGAGAGGGAGCCCGCTGCCCAGTTCATCTCCAGGCTGTGCCACCCCGTGTTACCTGGGTCAAATCCCAGTTCTGCCACCTATCTGACTGCTCCATACCTCTGTTTTCTACTCCATCAAATGGACATTTTAGTAACAGTGCCCACCTCACAGAGTAGTTATGTGGGTAAGACACGCACGAAGGGTACACAGTGACGTGAGCCTATCTAAGTGCTCAGGAGCTCTACTTGTCACTGCTTAAGCCACTTGCTTAAACCGGGTGTGACAGGTAGCTGCAGGAGAACAACCACTTCATTCTCATTGCCCAGCTCTCTGTCCCATAAATACTTAGTCATACATAAAATTTTAGCCATGACATGGGAAATACTCCACCCCTGGAATTGTAATTCTTTTTGCCAATTACAAAACAGTGAATGTTTATGGTTTAAAAAAAAAAAAAAAAAAGAACATCTAGAAATATAAGAGAGTACATCACAGAAATAGCCCAGCCCCCCAAGGCGCCATTGGTGAGTTTTGATAACGGGATCTTTCAAAAAGTCACATGGTACAACTTTCACCATTGCACAGGGCCTGTCTCTCGGGCCTGCAGGGCTCATGTCAGGGGAAAAACAAATAAACAAACAAAAAAAGCCTCTTCAGCCAGAACACAGTGGCTACCCATTCAGCGGCTCTGCTTAGCCGCGGTCCGCGTCCTCTGAGCATGATGGGACCTACTGTAGCCTGGGGCAGGGCCAGCACGGAGTCTTCTCAGGTTAGGCTTCCCCAAGACAGACACTCTGGTGTTCCGGAGTCTAGGCCCAAGCACAGGCAGGACTCAAGGGTCACCGTCCCGACCTCCCCACACTGAGGCCTTGATATAGGAGAATGAAACTCCCAACCTGATAGGTACCTGGGACAAGTTTGTGTTCTCTAAAACTGAAGAATGAATTTTAGAAACAAACGGAGGTTAAGAGCAGAGTATATTTATTGAGGGAAAGAAAGCTTCTGTCCAAGAGAAGGTGAGAAGGGGGACCCAACCAGGTTGCCCAGGAAGCTGTCTCTTTACATATTTTTATAGATTAAGACCATGCAGGTCTATGGTGGAGGAAATGGCAACTCACTTAGGTAGGTGGGCATGAGGTGGGACAAAACTATGGTCAACCAATAAGGTTACAAGCACCATTGCTCGGGTAAGATTGATTAAATCCAGGACCAAATGGGGAAGCAAGTCATCCAGTAGCCAGTAGCAGCTGGATTAGTGACTCTTCCTGACCTCCTCAATCCCGGATGCTTATCTTTAGGGGGTGAGCCTTTGTTTGATCTTTGGTCTTTAGCTTTAGCCCACAGAGGGAGCATTTGTCTCCCTCACAGTTGCAAGGTATCTTGTCTTCCATGCTTGAGGGCCTGGCCCTGTCTGACTGCCTGTAGTATTCCTAATTCAGCTGCCAGACAAGAGTCTGAGGAGGGGTTCCCTGCCCTCACGGGGGCGCTGCACACAGACCTGCCCTGCAGGGGGCTTCTCCTCCAAACAGCCCACCCCGCCTCCCTTCCAGGCACTGCCTGCACCAGCAGGCATCATCTCTGTTGACAGTAATACTCAGCGTCCCCTTTTGCCCACAACTTCCGCAGTCCACAGAGCTGGTCGCTTATCTCTCGTGATTTCGTACCCTGGGAGCTGGCAGCTGAGACCCAGTTGGGGCGTGCTGAGTCAGCACTCCTGGAGGACAGGACAGCCCAGAAACCTGTCTGGAGTCCAAGGTTCCTGCCCAGACTGGGAACCAAAGAAGACCTCAGTGCAGTCTGAAAGTCCTGAGATGGTTTGGGATTGTTTGTTCTAGTTTTCTTTAAACTGCCCTAAGAGAAATCGACATCAGCAATGGGTCAATTCAGCCAACAAGGAAAACAGGATCGAGTTAGATTTTAGACTGGATTGTGTGCTTGCTTTTTCCGTCTTAAATAAATTGCCCTCACTGGTGAGTCAAGTCAATAAGCAAGAAAAACAGAAACTGCAGTACATTTGGGAGTGCATTGTACCCCGCCTTTTTCCATCTAATTTTTTCCCCTCTATCATGAGGTCTAGCATCCTAAATTATATAGTGCAGGATTCTAGTGTCTCCGAGTCTGGCGGAAGCCTCAGAGGTACCGAGTCCATTTGGAGCACAGAGAAAACGTCTGGCCTGGAAGAGAGACTTCAGCAGGTCTAGTGACTCACGCTGTTCCAGGCGCCCCAGTTCTACGCCATCCAAACATCTTTCCTCAAGGAAGGAGAGAGGCCAAGCCCCTGAGGCCCACCCCGCAGGAGATGGGGGCTTCCCATGCCACCCTGGGCTTGGGCCCAGCCTGCCTGTACGGCACATCCACCCTACAAAGCCTCCCAAAGACACTCGCGCTCGTTCAAACCTCGATTTCTACCTATGAAATTAGTTCAGAGAGTCTCTAAAACCTTGAAGAAAGAGAGTACACAAAGCAACCAAACCCAAAACTGTACTTTCAAGCTGTTCATTTCTGAATTTGGCTTTTCTGCTGCTGTTTCTGCACACAGGGATGGAACGCAGGGCCGGGCACAGGCCTAGCACTTGCCACACCACTGTCGCTGCGCAGCCCTCTCTCCTTGGCCTTGAGCAAAGTAACACTTTGATTTTCATGAGACCCGGGAATATTTGTTTTATGGGTTCTTCGTCTATTAAAAAAAGTTAGAAATCATATTTTATAACAGCATTGACATCAATATGAATACATAAATATATGAAGCTATTCCACCCGAAAGTTCCATAGTTTCCCTTGAAATTGCAGAGTGCATTAGAGACCACTTGGGTCCGCGAGTTTCCCGGGCCCTGGACCCGTGTCTCCCAAGGCCACAGGGATGTGGCTCAAGCTCTGATAAGGGGAAATCCCACTTCTGTGGAGCTCTGGTGGTGAGAGGAGAGGGCTGCCATGGCTCTGACCACTGTGTGTAAGGTGACCCTCGCAGCGAGCAGGCAGGGGACATCTCCACAAGTTCCACTTCCCCCTGATGTCATTTTCCTTTCCTTTCCTACAGCTTCGGTTGGCCTAGGCCCTGCAGGTTGTTCTTAGGAAGCGTGCACCTTGGGAGGACACACACACCTTTGATGTGGTATTACTATGTCACCCAGACAGGCCTCAAACTTCTGCTGTCAGGCGACCCTCCTGCCTCAGCCTCCTGAGAAACTGAGTTTACAGGCACACACCCCTGGGCCTGGCTTATCTGTGTTCTTTCATAAAATTTTTAAGAATACCGCCGCGCTACAAGTTTGCAGCCTGTTATGATTCCGCTCGTCATGAGGAGCTGGTACATTTGCTTCTCCTCCTTCCGCCCCCTTCCCTCTTCCATCTCTTGGGCCTCTTCCCATCTGCAAAAGATCTACCCCGTTTGCGATTCTCTCTCACTTTGCTCTTTATTTATGCTTTGCATTTCCCACGTAAGAGAACCCGTGCGTAACTGTTGTCTGCTTTATTCTGCTTCATGTTATTGTCTCGAGTGTGTCTGTTCTTCTACAGACGACTCTAATTTATCCTTCATTTGGGCAGAGGGTCACTCCAACGCATCCATATGTGCACTCCTATCTGAGGAGCAGCCAAGGAACCTGGGGCTGCACAGTGGTGAAGGGGATGCAGGAGGCCTCTGCCTCTGGGGCCTCGAGTGATGCCTGCTGGGGCGGGGCTCAGAGGTTCAGCCCTAGACTCCAGGGACAGATGGATGAGAACTGAGGTGAGCCGCGGGGGTTCCTGAGGTACAGCGGGGAGTGGCCGGAGAGGGAGGGTGTCCTACAAATCAGGGATCCAACCCGAGGTCAGAAAATATGAATTGGGAGGGGCCTGGACTAGGACGGGGGCGGGGGTGTCTCTTGATCTGTCTTTCTCCAGGGTGAGGGAGCGGAAGAGGAGCTTCCTTCGCTGGAGAAACAGGAACTGTCCCTAGCACAGAGGAGCAGCTCTCTTCAGCATGATAGCCGTAGTACCTCGCCACCCTGTGTCATTACCTCTGAGAAACACCAGGAGGGCCACACCCTTCTTGGTCACAGCTGATCTGCAGGGACTCAAGGGGCTAATCTGCATCCATACCCACATGCACTTCCTCCCCATCCTTTGGTCCCTCTTAGAAGCCAGGGGTCCCAGATGTCCCATAGCAAGCCGCACATGTCCCTTATAGAGGGCAGCTGAGATTCCAGGTGAGGGAAAGCCCAAAGGGACAGAACTGTGGCCAGTGACATCTGAGCCACTGGACGCTGGCGCAAATGTGTTCTCCTTAGAGCGCCTGCTCTGGGACAGGAAAGAACCATCCGAGTCCCCTTCCTGCCTAAGTGGCTGTCTTTCTGGTATCTTAAGACAGCACTGGGAGACCCCGGGTTTATCTGCCCTCCTAGCTAATCAGCAGCTTGAGCTGTTTTTGTACTGGACATTGTTTAAAGTCCTTGATTCCATTCCAGTCACTGCACGCTTGGCCCCATTGTCTAGGAGATTGGCCCTTCTTCTGAATAGGGAGGGTGTCTGCCGGCATGGACACCTCTCACCTGCTTGTGTGTGTCACTGTGGGTGGTTTGTCCTTCTATGAGATACCTGGCCCTGCCTGGCCACATTCTGGTTGTCACAACCGGTAAGGGAGAAGAGGCCAGGCATGCCATGGATCATCCTGCAGTGCTAGGACGATTGTCCCCACAGTGACAAATGACCCAGTCCAAAATGCCATCAACCGCTTTCCACCTGTGCCCAACCCGGGCCCTCTTGAATGTCACTTTGTTCCTAAACCGCAGCTTTCCTGTGGGACATGATCATTTCGGCCTCCCCACCGCCTAGGGCAGGGCTTGATGTGTAGCTGGACGCACGATACACGTTTGTTGCATCGTGGATTTTCCCTGTTCTGGAAATGTTTCCTCGGGCTTTGGGGACGCACACACCAGAGGTCGCCTTTCACTGGGCAGCAGCATGCGCACCTGTAATCTTAGTGCGTCACGAGGCACATGCTCAAATATTAACGTTGTTTGTTGCTGAAAGATAACAGTGGCTGCATTTGTGTGGATGCTCACAGCACACCCTTTTACTTTTCCACAGTCATCCCTAAACCTCCCTGGAACACAGACTTACAGGACTCTGGCCTCAATCCTCAGCGGTAAGGGCATTCTCTTGGGCCTGGAAGGTTTTTTCCCTCTAAGGAATAAAGCACCAGAACAGGTGATAAGCACCTGGGGGGTGGAGAACAGCCAGTTCCTCGAATATGGGTCAAACCCCATTCCCCGGAGCTGGCCAGAGGCAGTCAGAGGAAAGGGAAAGGGTCACATAGAGCCCTGCTCAGGATGTCCTGAAGCTCAACTCAAACTTGCTGTACACAGATTCCCACGGAGAAATTACAGAAGGGTGACATCGAGGCAGGGGGGTCTGGGTCCAGGCAGAACTAATTTACGGCCAACGGCTGGGCGTAGTGGTGCACACCTGTAACCCCAGCACTCAGGAGGCTGAGGCAGGAGGATCACTGAGAGTTCAAGACCAGCCTGGGCTACCACGTGAGTCCAGGATGGCTGACAGCACCTGGGCTGTGTCCCCGTAACATTCCAGGACCCCTCCAGCAAATGCTACCATGCACTAGGAACTCACTTCCTGTGGTCACCAGACTGTCCCCTTAGTCAGTTACCACCTCGCAAAGCCCTCGGTGACAACCAATATGATACAGTTATGCCGTGCAGACTGCCTGCAGGTGCTCATGCTGCTGTCCAATGAAAAGCGACTTCTGGTGTGTGTGCAGCCCGTACGCACTTGGCCCCTCTCAGTAACCACTCTGGCTACACCCAAATCCGTCCTGTGAAACGCAGCCTGTCTGGCTTTCATCCCAGCCCGCCTGACATCAGAGATTCCAGGCCGTGCTGATGTTGTCACACCTGCTACAGCTGCTGAGAGCAGGCCGCCCCCTCCTGATAGCACCTGGAGTTCCTGAGGGCCCCCCACCCCAGGCTGCTGGATGATGCCTAGCCACCTGCTACTCAATGCTGTTCACCCTTTCCTTTCCCTGGGCTCAAGGCTCTCCCCATCCTCTCCGTTGGGTTGGGAGATACCAGCAGTGTCTGGGTGCTGGATGATACCAAGGACGCTGCTTTCTTCTACTCAGCTGTCTTCTCCACACCGAAGTCCACTGGGCTCATGGGAAAGAAACTGAGGACTAGGAAATTGGCTGGCACCAAGGCCATACCTCTGGTCCCACAAGCAAGCACTGGCTTCTACGGAGGGTCCCCCTCGCTGGGCAGTACCACAGGGAGGAAGCGCCCTTCTGAAAGTCACAGTGCCATAGCTGCCTGGCCCTGTCACACCGACATACCACAGCCCAGTTCTGTGCCAAGAGACTGGCCTTAACATGACGGTGAGGTTGCTTGCAGGGCTCCTTCCGAGAAAGGAAGCACCGGCAGCCTCCCTTGTTCATCGATGGTGGATTATGGGGCAGGAAGAATGTTCTAATCTGAGGGCTGATTCTTTAAGTAGGGGCTCACTGGGATCACTTCACTCTTTTTCCTCTCCAGGGCAATCAGGTATTCCCTGATGGGGCCATCTGACCGCCAGTGACGTGCCAGCTCCTCAGAGCGCACCTAGGAACCCAACTCTATGCCTAAAGGTGGACAATGAAGGTGGCAATGCTTTAGTCCTCCATGGTCAGCTCGGCCCAGATTAAAGCCACTGTCTTCCCCGCTGCTCTTTGGCAGCAGAGCTAGGCTCCAAGGATGAAGTAGGATCCCCAGAAGATGGCTGGGTCACACTGCACCTTGGCTAATGAACACATGGCACTGCCCAAGGGTAAGTCAAAGCTGCCACTTTCAGCTGTCAGAGTTCTGGAAGGACCCAGCCAAGGTGGGTGGCAAACGGGCTTCCTGAGATTTCTGGCCATTCCAGTGTCCATCACTATTCTGTCTTTAAAGCTCCACATCTCAAAAAATCAGAGTCTCTTACCTTAACAAGGCAGTGCTAGTGACATTGGCTGGGATTCGGTCGGGCCAATAAGCCACTGCTGGGACCCGGTGCCCTCCCTCCCACGTGGTCTGCTTGGCGGGACTCCCTCCTGTGAAGAGAGGCAGGTAGTTAATGGACAGCGATGGTCTGTGGCTTCTTTTCACTAAGAGATACTACCTGGGGGAACAGTCCCTCTCTGACGATTCCAATAAGCCAGGATATGGCTCAGTGGCCCAGTGCCTGCCCAGCCAGTGTGAGATCCTGAGTTTGATTTCTGGTACCAAAACAACAAAAGATATGACTGTATTTTGGTAATCAGCTTTGCCCCCAACCAAGGTCTTCCAATATATTCTTGACATGCCATTGTGCCCCCAAGTGACAATGACGTTGATGTACTGACTTGTTTCCTGGCTGTGTCTCTGCCCCATGGGGCCTCATCCGTCTTGTACACACAAGACGTGGTGGTAGGTGTGTGACAACTCTTGTTGAGTAAGTGAGTTGTGTTCCTACCGCTAATAGTGAGACTAGGGTGAGAAACTACAACGGCTCGAGAAGAAACAAGGGAAGAAACCGCCCCGGCTGCTTAAGCTGCCCAATGTCTAGCTGACCTGGCATGGATTTTGTTGTTTTATTTAGTTTTGTTTTGCTTTTTGCTTTGTTATTCCTTGAACGGATGAGTTGTTCTGAAGCGGAAAAGACAGTGTCAGGAATAGCCCAACCTCTTGCCTCTCGGCGGGAGGTGAGAATGAACGATATGCGATCTATGAATTTCCACATTAGTAAGTAGAGGGGTTATTTTTATAACCACTAAGTCACAAATGACCACCAGTCTAATGATAACCAGCGGGCTGGAAGAGATGAGGTCATGTTTTATGGAAACATCCTGAATGCATGTTGCATTGAATTAACCATGACCGTCCCCACCACTCCCACACACACCCCACCCTCATCTCGGTTGAGCCAGAGGCCAAGGATTCCACAGAGTTCGTGTGTAAAAAGCCTTTTTGGAAAGCGCCGTATGTGGCTCACACACACTGTGGTCATATGACTTCCCCATGTTTGGCTCGTGTGAAGAATGACAGCAACCATGAGGGGAAGCAGAGGGACGGAGGGGAAGGCTTCGGCGCTCTGTCCTCACACTGCGGCTCGGGCAGCCTTTGATGTCCCTGGCCCGGCACGCCACACCGGAAATGCTCTGCATTCTTGGGGATTTCTCATAACCAGCTTTGGAGTCCCCCAAGTATTGAAGTCAGAAACAAAACACAAAACAACTCCCCCGTCCTATGGACAGTTTATGTTTAAGGGTGTGGGGCTGGAGAAGCCAAGCGAAAGCAGGCTGGTGGGAAGCTCTTTGATCCAGCCCCATATTTCCCAGATATAGCCTTCCCATCCATAACTACATCTCCCAGAAACATGTAGTCTGCACCAAGTACGCACGCCTGTGGAGCAGAGAATCCAAAACCCCAGCAAGCATAAAATACATTTTGCGTAGCCTTGGCATACATGGCTGATGCTACAAATACCAAGAAGAAAGGAACCACACTTGTGCTGGAGTGCTTTGGGTCAGCCTGGCCCCATGGGGGGTTTCTGGACTCCGGGGGCCTGGGTGGAGGACAAGGTGAAGCTTGTTCGCGTCTCCGCGGTGTACACATTCACAGGGGGCTGCTTAACCTTTGAGGCCAGATGCTAAGGAAAAGCCAAGCTCTTGGCCCCGAGAAGCAAGCCACCAGCTCTGACCACAGCCAGGTGCCGAGGGTCTGCTGCGTCACAGCAGCGGGACCCAAGGTTCCTTCTCTGCCGCCAAGATGTTGCCGGAAGGGTAAACTGGCCCCCAGTTAATACATTTACTAATTGGTTTTTTACTGCTAGGCTTTGCCCTTGTTTTCCATGATCTTTCATGTGGCCTTTTTATAGGTGACTGACCTTCTTGTTTTGATTTTCTGAGCGCATGTTTCATTGTGTTTATCCTCTTTCAAAAGAATGTTGGGGGCCAGGGAGATGGCTCAGTGGCATAAGTGCCTGCCTAGCAGGTGCAAGGTCCTAAGTTCGATCCCTGGTACCGCAACAACAACAAAAGAATGTTGGAAGTTGGTGGGTTTACCCCAGTGTGCTTCACAGGGGACAGTGTCCCTCTGCACATCATGGCTGACCGGCTGCACTCCGGTGCTGGCTTTAACAGAAGGGCACCATTACCTGTTCCAGCCATAAAGGGACTGCAGGCTCACTGCACTCCAAAGGAATTTAGCCTAAAAGTCTGGGACACAGGCATGCCAATATAAAAACATTTATTTCTCCTGACAGGTACGCTGTACTGCCCCAAAGCACAGTGCTAGAGGTGGACAAAGACCCTCTGATCCGTGGTCTCTGCCCATCCCCAGGGTGTGGGGCTGAATTATCTGCTTCGTGTGCTTGTATCAAGTGGGTTTTACTGCAGTTTATCTGCACCGGCAAGAGAGGAAGTCCAGATTAGCTGCCCCGGCCCCCAGAACTCTTCCTGCTCCTCCTCACGGACATGCGCTCTGAGTCCATAACAGTAACCATTAACAGTCACCAACCTGACCTCCTACCAAGTTCCCAGTTGAATGCGTCTCCCTGCTGTGTTTCACAGAACCCACATGATAGCACTTTGACCAGGCACTATGGCCTCCGTTTGTCAGATGAGGAAGCCAAAGCCCAGAGCTAAGTAGTTTCTCTCAAGGTCCCATAGGTAGTAAACGGTGAATCAGGGATTTGAACCCAGGACTGACTACACCACCAAGGCATTCACTAAACATCCAGTGCAGCCGTTACCCTGAATGTACCTTAGAATCACCGGGGGAGCTTTCCAAGAAATACCCATTCCGAGATACCTTTCCTAGAAATCGCGATTCAGCCGGCGTGGCTGGAGCCGGGACACCAGCACCTTGTAGCGCTCTCCTACTGATTTAATCCGGAGCCAACCCCTTCGGGCAAGACCACCAAACACATAACGCACTTTGAAGCTAGATATAGCTTCTGTGCTTTTGAATCAGCACTTGAGACCGCCAACACCTTTCTGCCTTTATGACACAGCGTCATAAAAGCGGCTTAATAAGTTACAGAAGCACAGTGGACAAGTCCCCAAATGAAACTTCAATGCATTTTCCAAAGGGGAAAACTGCCTGTTAGTTTAGACAAGCCTTACTACTTTGATCCCCAGCACTAGTTCATGAGAAGTGTTAGTGGCATCCGACTGTCTGTTGAGAAAGGCTTGTGCCCGGGCCATGAGAGAGCATTTCAATGTACTTGTGGTTAGTGATGACTCTAATTAAAGCAGAATCTCTTACTTACAGCAATAAATATTTAGCCTCAGCAACTAAAATATAAACAGAGCCATGATTCATGAATCTGCTTCCTTGGTCCTCCCTGGCTGCGGAAGTGAAATGGCTCCGCGGTGCGCCGTGACAAGGGCAATCGGAGCCACACTCGCCACAGCCCACGCCTTTCTCCACAAGGCCCCGGCTGCCCTGACCCGACTGAGTCACAAAGGCGGCGGACACGCTTCCCAATCGCCAGGCGAGACCTCCCTGACGGTGTGGATTCCCGGGTTCTATTTCTAGAAAATCAATCTTAGTAAGTCTCAGGTGGGAACGCTGATTCTAGGTGCCTCTCATGCCAGTGCTGTGAGGCCCAGAGTGGGAGAAGAGGAGCAGGGTCAGGCGAGGACACCTTTGGAGCCAGGATGACCTGTGTCCCAATGCCAGTGCCGCTCTTCACTAGAATTTGTCACCCTACTCAGCCTCAATCCTCTGGGCCGGGAAGGGGGGTGGGGGTAAAAGACCACACTTAGCTCACAGGGTTGTGGAGACAGTTTTTCCAGATGGCAGATATAAACTTCAGAGCCAGGTAGTTTGCTCAGAGCACAGAGCCCACCAGAATAATGTGCAGCACTGGCAAACCACACCCCCTCCAGAAGAAATCACCTACAGGTAGCAGACAGCATGGACCCCAGCCATGCACACTGCATGCAGCCCCCTAACTGCTTGGTATATGCATTTTTCTTTTTAGCTAATTTTTTTTTTCAGTGCAGCAAGTTGAATCTAGCTCCTTGTACGTGGTAGGCAACTACTCTACCACTGAGCTACACCCCCAGGGTATTTATTTGTTTGTTTGTTTATTTTTAAGACAGGGCCCAAAATAAATAAGTTGTCTAGCTGGGCTCAATCTGGTGATCCTCCTGCCTCAGCCCCCCCGAAGAGCTGGGATTGCACCATGCGTGCCCAGCTGCTTTTTAACTAAATTTGAACTTCATTAGTCAGAACCCTCTCTCCAGCTTGTGGGATTCCTTATCCTCCCCACAAATGACAACATGAACGTGTTTCCTGTGAGATCAGCCTGTCCTGTGAAGGTATTTCAATCTGCAGCTCCTGCAGAGCTCTGTTCCGAGTGGTGCGCATACATCCTATAACCCTCTAAAGAAGCAGACTTCCTTTCTAAATATAAGCACATGCCCTGGCCAAGGATGCCCGGGCCATACTAGTTTCCTCGAAACACAGGTTACCAGAGCTGCTGCTCAGACCCAGGACTGTGGCTGGTCTGAAGTGGCCTTGAGTTTGTGGATGGGGACATTTCACCACGCCTGGTGGCCAAAGCCTAGAAAGAGAAACACTTTGACTTCTGCTGTGTCCTCATCATCAACAAGCCCTGTCCCAAGCAAGGCCACTGAGCAAAGTCCCTTGTCCCTGACTTGTCACACACCCCTTCAGCATCCTTGACCTCGCCCTGCCCTACCCCCTACCCCAAGCAGGACGGAAGGCCTGGGGTGCAGCGCCCCAGCAGAGAGGTTACGTAACCGCCTGATAGCATCAAATTACAAACAGCCAAGGTCTCCCCGAAGCTGCAGTGCCAAATTCAACAGCATGTTTCCTCATCACCAAGGGGGAGGAAGGAACAGTTCTGCTCTTCAAATAAAACAAGATTTTCCAGACAGAAGAGCAGTCAGTTGGGGGTGGTGGGGAGGGACAAGGTGTAGGCTCTGTCCCAGGTAGGAAAGAGGTCCGGAGTGCTGCAGGACAGCCAGGGGCTGGTGGCCTGACCGCCTGAGCCTGCTGGGGAGCATGGGGTGATGGGGGCTCAACACCAGCCTGTTCT